ATCTCCTGGCTCTACAACTCCTTTATACAATGTATAGTTTATACTACCCTAGAGAATATAAGACAACTTCTTCCAAGTTAAGAACTGAAAAATTGATACAGGGAAAACATGGGAAGAGGAATAGAGGAAGGGGTAAGTAGGAAGAAAATGCAATTTAAGAACATATGGTTAGAATAAGCTATGCTGTGGTTTTGAGACTTCACCCCTTTTCCCCAAAACTTCATAGAAAAGGCGTGTTTCAAAGAAGAATTTCAGGTCTTAGGGAGACAGCCTGGGAGAAATTCCAGAATCCAGGCATAAACGGGGGGGGGGGGGGAATGGAGCCTTTTCAGCTTTTTAAAATTGGAAAGGCAATTATCTTCTAGGGATAGAGTGTTATACTCTTCTCTTGACTTTCTTGTGGTCATTCTGTGAGGCCAGCTTGCATCACCTACAGGAACCTCTCGAGGCCAACACTCTGGTGCTGCCTTTTGCTTGTATCAGATATTCCATAAAGATTCTTTAGGGTGCTGCTCATTTCCATTAATCCCAAACAATCCCCACCTCATATTCTTCACACTGTGTAGTTGTAGATGCCTGGATGAAGAAACAAAAGGCAATGCTAGGATTTGAATATTTAATTTAAAATTTATTCATATGAAGTGGTGCTTCAGCATCTTGAGTAACAGGATGGGATTTTGTACCAATGAGTTATAACCTTCACCTATAAACCAGATTGGAGAGAAAGATTGAGCATTTCCAGATTATGTTCAGGCAAATTATATTATTCAAATAACAAGAATATCCCTTTACTTGCCATGATGTAAACAAAAGTTTTTATGTGACGTTCTCTTTTTGATAAGCACCTAAGGTTTTTCTAGCCACTAGTTAAAACAAATGCAGGGGGGAAATCTTTGGCCTTTTATACCTTAATTTGGTATGGTTTTTAATTTAATGAATAACTATTCAACAATTCTAGCATCAGGAATGCAAATTTGTTTATTCCATAGTCTTGCAAACATATATTTTGTGTTACATGAAGCTGCCTCCTCAGGCACAGTTGAATTTTGCAGCCAGTTACAACTGTTTCATTTCAGTGTGAGCTCCCGTTGTGTGGAACACTCCTGTACAGGTTGCAAGCACCTTGCTATATTCCGTGTCTATTCTTTCATATTCTGCTTTTTGCCCAACAGTCCACTGAACAAACTCAACCTGAGATTGTTTTCAAAAGATCATCTGTATTCCTGTATACCAGAGGAGCACTTAACCTTTAAGCAACATGCTTGGGGGCCAAGCATTGTAAGAAATAGAGCCAGAACCAAACTGCAGGTGTGTTGGATGATTCCATATACAGATAGCCCTTGGTTGACAATCATTCATTCAGCAACCAAAGTTACGACCGAGTAGATGCCTGGTCCTCAAAGTTGTAGCCATCACAGTGTCCCCACCGACCTTTACTGCCAGCTTCGAACAAGCAAAATCAACAGGGAAGCCAGCAGGAGGTTGTAAATGGTGTTCATGTGATGTTGTGCCTAATGACCATGTGGGATTCGCTTAATTACAACTGGAACTGCTGTCATAAGTCAATGTGGTCACATAATGTCACCCTTCATGACCACATCATTTAACAATGGAGTTCCTGGTCCCACTTACTGTCGTTAAACCGAGGACTACCTTTATGTCTTAAAACTACAACTCAAGCAATAATTTTTGGAGCACTTCTGGAAGCCTTAGCTAAGATTTGGTGTGTGCGTGGGGAAGGCACATGCTGTAAACTTAAGATTTCCCCAAGGTATCTCCTGCTGGTGCATGGATAGTGCTATCACAGCTTCAAAAGGGAAGAATGAGTTCATTGCCAGCATATGGAATGTTTCTTCCGATATTTGTAGGCTGAAGCCATATAACAATACTTACCCTCAGAAGAGGAGAATTATTTTAATCCAAAGTGATGCTCTCTATAAATAAAACTATTTCAATTATACCATCTATTTTGGATCATTACATTTTAAGCTACAGATTTCAGGGGTTTTCAAAATTGGCACAATTGCAATGTTTGCTACAGGCTAGTGCAGGCGAAGTGAGGGGCAAAGCCTAGAGGAAGTTTTCTCAGCATTCTGACTTTTTAAAGTTGACAGGATTCGCTGGTGTTCCAGGCCCATAGTTTGAGTATCTTTGCCTTGAGACTAGAGAATTCTTCCCACTTCACAGCATATGATCTACCATATATGATCCACCGACTTTATAAGCAAAGAATTACTGTTCTAAGCTTTTGTTCTCAGAAGCATTAGTGTGACCTATCTCACCTGTTCCTATTTTGTATACATTTTGTGTTTTTTGTTTGCAATTCAGGTTGTCTGGTACAGTTTCTGCTGTATTTTCTCCCCATCCCACTGAAAGTTGTACTTGAAATGAAAAGTTCATACAGATATTTCAAAAACAGAGAGCGCGCTAACTACTGGGAGCAGCTTCTAAAACAGCCACAGATGGCTTTAAGATGTGGTAGCTTTGGCCTTTCAAAAAGAGGCATTTGATATGAACACCTGCATTTTCTAAATTACCTCTTTCAAATAATTTGCATGATCCTAATAAATAACTTACAAAGTGGGGGAGGCATGGTTCAGAAAATGCTTTCCATTGGGAAAATCTGGGTATTTCATTTGCTTTAATGGTATCATTTGTGGTTTCTTTAATCTGGTTACAATCTTAACATGATTTTGAAAGGAGCTAAAAAAACCCGTATGATTTCAACTAGATTAGGATCATTACATTCAACAAGGAACTGAAATCAAATTTAGATGAAGGGTCTAGCCTGTCTCATTGTAAGTATTTGTCACAGTTCAAACTGGGGAAAAGGCTTCAACCTGTGCTTGGCTGGGTAGGTTACACAGAACAGCAACAGTTCTGCATTTGACAGAATACACCAAGATAGGTTTAAATTTGGGAACTTGTCTGAGAGCTTCCAATTCAGCTCATGTTTCTACCTAGGCAAGGAGGCACAAGCCAGGATGGCCACTATCACACAGGCTATGTGGTCAACAAAGCTGGTTTCCTTCCACGTACTTGATCCAAGCCAAAAATCCTATTCAAATTACCAATACTTGAATTACTTCTTGAGTTACAGACCATAATATTCAGTGAAGGGATGTGAGGCACATACATACACCGAGACATAGAGGTGCCTCTTTCATAATTTACAGAGCAGAAGAGACAGGAGTCAAGTCGTGGTGCAAGCCAATTTGAAGGACATATTTTAAAAAAACCCTAGTAGGGTCAGCAGAGTAATTTCAGGCAGTTGTTCACTTCACCATTGAATCCAATTTAATTTTGGCCAGATTGTGACCGTAAATATACTAAGCAAATTAGATTCACGGCACTGCAGAGACTCCCAGGCACTGAAAGCATGTCAAAAGATAGCTGCATAATCTGAACAAATTTCTGCCCTGTGGCCCTGCTCCCACTTCTGATGTCACAAGAGAAAGGTTTCCCGATTACCCAGATTTTCAGCCTGTGGGAACTCTCTCCAGTTGTATTGATGATCATAGAGTTGGAAGGGGTCACCTGGGTCATTAAGTCCAATGCTTTCATACGTATAGCTCTTCCCCTGATTAACTCAAAGTCTGTCCTCACATGGAATTCTGTATATAACAGCAGCTTTTGAAGACCCCTTTCCCACACTGTAAGAATATGTTGACAGTGTCAAAGTATTTCCACTTTAGGTGTTGATACATTCTCCGTTTTGTGCTTCTTCAGTGTGTGTGTGTTGACTGTGATCTTCCGCTGAGTGATTTATCCAGACCTCCCCCCCCCACCCCGAAAAAAACAGCGCTTCAAGTAATCCTGGCATTGTAAAAGAAACATTGGACAGATTTTCCCTCTAGCATACCTCCGCTCCAGCTTTCCCCAACCCGGCTCCTATCCTGATGTGTGGACTTCAATCCCCAAAATTCCCAGCCAGTAAGACCATTGTTTAGAATTCTTGGAGCTGAAATTTGAAAAGGGAAGAACAGAGCAACTACTTATGTATTTGGTTTTGGCACTGAGGCCAAACAGCCGCTTGGTTCCAAAACCATTTGCTCTTTTTGAATGCTCTTCTAATAACCCCATTTAGTAAAGAATCTTTTCTTGCCTTTTAGCAGGAAAGATTAACAACAATCCAATATAAAAGGGATTCCTTATGAGCCCATCTAGTAAGCAGAGCCAACTGAAGTCTAATACATCTGAAGGAAACTAGGCTGAGGAAAAAACATTTTGAAAGGACATACCAG